TGGTAAAAATTTGAGGCTGATTGGATAGCAGGCAACCATGCAGGGCCGTAACAAACCCAAATTTCAGGGGGGGGCGACCCCAAAAATTTTTCACTAATATTACTAAAACTACAGCGCCGCAGGCAAAATTTTTGAAAACATAGTGTTTATAACACGAAAACTAGTGTTAAAAATAGCCAAAAACAGCGGCGCCGGCAAAAAAATTTTGGAAAAATTAAATCATAAGGGTCCCCCCTTATGAACTTTTCGGTCTTCGGCCGATCTCGGGGGTGGGGGGGGGGCCGCTCGCCCCCCCCCTTACGGGCCTGCAACCATGTTCTGAGCGAAAAGGGGTTTTTGGGACGCTCTTTAGTTGAAAAATCGTCAGAAAGGGCATAAAAAACTCCAGGAAATTTGGGGAGTACTTTGCTTTCCTTTAGCAAGCTTTTCTATAGCATGTTTCGTGATGATTATTTAGAAATAGCTTTATTTTCAATTGTTACCCAGTAAAGCGCACCATTTCGCCCCTAGGGTATTTGGGGCCCTTCCGCCGCCCGCACCGACTCGACCCCTTAGTGTGGGGGTAGTGCGTTGGACTGCAGAGCGGACCAACCCTGGTTCGACCCCCGCCCGGTGCACCCCTTCTTGCTTTTTGACCAATCCCGTCTTTCCAGAGGCCTCTAAAAGGCCGTCCGCGGCTCATCCGAACAGGCCCCATTATGACCTGGCACAGTTTTTTTCGGCCCCATTTTTATGACGTCATCTAAAAGAGCGTGGTCGAATTAGTAGGGTGGTATGGTTTTGAAAGTTTTAAAAGTTTAATTTTGGGGTTAAAATCGACCTCAAAGTTGCCACCTTCAAAAAACTATCTCACGGGCAAGGGTATCGCCTGTCAAGTTCATAGAAGAGATTTTCGCCAAATCATCGTAAACTTGAAGTAAGATAGCTCATTCGAAAGCGCTTTTTCTGCTGAACAAGATGCACTAATGGGTTGTGGCAAATTTCCATTCCCTGGGCCTTTACAGGCCCTTAAAGGTACCGTGTTTGGCGATTTGACCAACTTTGATGCTTCATAACTTTTTTCTCCGTTTTATTTAGCAAATTCTGATTACAGATTCGGAATCCCCGTGTCCGATTCTATCAGATCCACTATGTCGCGTGTCGATTTCTCGTGGGCCGGTCGTGCACCTCCCTTGTAAGCCCAGGCTTACTAGGGAGGTATCTGAACTCGGCATCGAACCTTGAGAAGTCAGATACACCATTCGAAGCGCCTTGTCGAGGGGGTTCCAAATATGTAATAAAATCAACCAGAGCCTATAACGATAAAAAGTTATGAGCATTCGAAGTCGACAAAATGGTGAAAAACAGTATCTTTGAGACCCTGTATCATCCCGCGGAATGGAATTTAGCCTAAACTGATTAGTGCTCCTTATTCAACAAAGAAAGCTCTTTCAAATGAGCTATGTTACATACGGCTGCCAAAAATCCGTAAAAAAATATTTTTGGAATGCGGCGTAAGGGTAGGGTATGGCCAGCTTGCCGAAGACCTTTCGAGAATTTCCCGTAAAGGTAAGTAAGATAGCCCATTCGAAAGATAATTTTCTGCTGATCAAGATGTACTGTTCTATTTTCGACAAATTACATTCTTCGAATTCGTACAGAGTCTTAAAAGGGCGGTTTTTGATGATTTTGCCAACTTTGATATAGAGAGCGTCCAACCCTGGTCTTGTTGCGCGAGGTTATTTTATCATCGCTGGTGCCTTTTAGGGGTCACACAGTCAAGAAAAACTTATTCCCGAGTTTGGAAATGAAAAAAGTAGGAACTGGTCAAAAAGCAAAAAATAAAAATCGTGATTGGATCCGAACCCTGGTCGCACAGACCGGAGACCCATGCGCACACCACTAGGCCACGGGATCGATGGTCAGGGTGCGCTGGGCGGGGCTCATATCGCCGCGGCGGTTTTCGCCGCAAAACTTAAAATGCTCATAACTTTTTATCGTTATAGGCTCTGGTTGATTTTATTACATATTTGGAATCCCCTCGACAAGGCGCGTCGAATGGTGTATCTGACTTCTCAAAGTTCGATGCCGAGTTCAGATACCTCCCTAGTTAGGCTTAACTGATCGTTGCAAGAGGCTTAGTTTAAAGCATGCGGAGCTTTTAATTTAGCAGAAGGTAAGTAAAGTTAATATAGTTAATGTAGTTATCAAGGAGAAGAAGGATGAAAAAGGAACCGGAAGAAGGAGTTATTATGAAGACGAAGATAAACGAGTGAAAACACGCAAAATACAAGATTATTAGTTATTCACTTACTAGGTAACTTATAAAGGCTAGAAGTTATTCCTTAGGCATTAAAAAATCTGTCATCCAACACATCATTATAATTTTATAATATATTGTAAAGCAACAGCGTGAAATCGATGTATTTTCTGAATTTCCCAGCTCTTTATAAGGATTTCCCTTTTTGCCTTAATCTAACTTAATAATAAAAAATATTTTACCAAAACCCTTTAATAATGTTCAGAAAACACCAATCACAGCGGCCCGGCTCCTAATAAAACGTCCGGTAGCTTTGGAAAGGAGGGAAGACCGCAACGCGTGCGATAGACGCGTCGCGCAATTGCGAAAGCAAGCCTGCGCAGCTAAAAACCGGTTGCTATTCCGCGCACCCGCAAAAAACACGTACAGTACGCCCGTTCCCTTGAACCATCTGGACCGAACCCATGGGCGGTTGTGCAATAAACATTTATAAATCGATTACGTACATTAATTAGTACGAAACGCGCCAAAAAAACGGTTATGTTCAATCTTCTCTACGGGCGGGTTTTTAGCCCTCGGACGTAACGAGTCACGAACGCGTCACACCACTTTACACCGCGTAATTGGTTGCCTAAACCCCGTTTTTTTTGTGACAAATAATCTTGTAAAGGTTATTCTAACGCTAGAAACAAAAGAAAGGGTACAAGTAGGATAAGCGGGGGGGAAAATTTTAGGCGGGGGAAACCAACTTTTTCCTGGTCGGCCCTGGTGGGGATAGTAATCAAATATAAAGTGTTTTCACATTGTTTTTAGCAAAAAATTATAAGCATCCATTTGACCGAAAATTTTTTAAAAGTTAGTTAAAAAACGCTTGAAAAAGTCGAAAATTTGGTCATTTTTGGGCCGAAAAAAGTGATTTTTAGACCTAAAATTAAATTTTTTAATTAAGTTTTGTAAAGTTTTTATGTTTAGTAATAGCTATAAACAATTTAGAAACACTTCCATTATTTATATAAAAAAATAGGCTTGAGCGGAAAAAAGTTGGTTTCCCCCCGCCTAAAATTTTCCCCCGCTTATCCTACTTGTACCAAAGAAAGATAGTTGTAAAGTTGTAAAGTTGTAAAGAAGCAAGTTTTAAAACAGATTTGGACGTGAAAGGGGCATAATCTTGCATGACGGTTTTGCTGGTTCATTTCACACCAGTGTTATAACACGAAGAAGCCTATTCTATAGTCACCAACACGTTGTTCTCCATTTTCGCGAGCAATTATCGTTAGCAAACATTGTACACACAATGTTCGCAATGCAAGGATCTTTTGTGAATTACCCAAATATCACAGTATAACTGATAGCCGTAGGCTAAGTCTTAGAAGAGGCTAGATGGGCCGAACTCGAATGAGCAATGGTAGCGGTAAAAAGCAAATCAGACAAGCGCTTTACAATGTCCCTATCATCACCAGGGTTTTGCGCATGCGCGAACGTCACATCATTAGGTTTCATCCTCATCTTTCAAATGCTCTCGATCTCGCGCATCTTCTTCTCTATTTCGAGCATCGTTATTTTTAGTTAACTTTCAGGGTTTTCCGCCTAATTAGGAGATTGAGGGCGCCGTTGTAATGTTTCTATATGCACCGTTTTTCCATCGTTTGCATTATGATGGTCCTCCATCCCGGAATGCTTGGCGTGCAATCCTTCTGTGTCCTGTCTGTCGACAACCTGATACTTCTTGTTTTGTTCCAAAGTCATCGACCAGGCTTCCAAGTGTCGACTTTGTCTTTTTTTCTCGCAATCCTTTGCTTTTTTTTGCGCCACGCTTCCGAAACAAGCTTGTTTAGAGTTCCATGTACGCTGTCTTCAGCTGGCCAGGCGGCCAACCTGCATTCACGCCCCTTGGCGTTACGCTCAAGTCCAAATGCACGACTGCTCGTCTTTCCGTAGGCATGGTGAGTTTCCGTTACTTTAAGTACCAAATTAGGAATCTTTCCTTTATTGTTAGCCAAATCTCAGTTAGATCTGAATAGTTGCAGACAGTGCAGTCAGTTAGATCTGTCTGCAACGATTCAGACTATCGCAACTGCATCACTGAACAACCATTTTAGAAGCGCCAGCGTACCCAAACATTTTATCATATCTCCCCCGCGGATAAAATCGTCTTGGAGGTATATTTTTATCAGCAATATCTAAACGTGTCCTAGCGTAACGGCTTCACTGTGCACGATTGTCGCTGCCCCGCCCAGGCTGGACCGCAAGGCGCACCATTGCCAATTGCTGCTGTGCAACCCCCGCAGGTATCGTTGTTCCTAACATCACGCGCTGTTTGCCTGCCTATTTCCAGATGGTGGATGTGGAAAACATGCTATTTGTAATTAAAAACTCTTTTAGGTGGTCGTCGGCTCTCAAGTACAAGTTCCGCACGTCGGCCAGCATCCGCAGGCGGCTGTTCAGCAGGAGAATTACGCCCAACGCCACACACAGGTATGATTTTGTTCGTAACATCATGTGCCGTTTGCATGCCTATTTCCAGATGGTGGATGTGGAAAACATGCTATTTGTAATAAAAACTCTTTTAGATGGTGGCCGCCGGCTCTCATTTCCAAGTTCCGCACGTCAGCCAGCATCCGCAGGCGGCTGTTCAGCAGGAGAATTACGCCCAACGCCACACACAGGTATGATTTTGTTCGTAACATCATGTGCCGTTTGCATGCCTATTTCCAGATGGTGGATGTGGAAAACATGCTATTTGTAATAAAAACTCTTTTAGATGGTGGCCGCCGGCTCTCATTTCCAAGTTCCGCACGTCAGCCAGCATCCGCAGGCGGCTGTTCAGCAGGAGAATTACGCCCAACGCCACACACAGGTATGATTTTGTTCGTAACATCATGTGCCGTTTGCATGCCAATTTCCAGATGGTGGATGTGGAAAACATGCTATTTGTAATAAAAACTCTTTTAGATGGTGGCCGCCGGCTCTCAGGTACAAGTTACGCGCGTCGGCCAAAATCCGCAGATGGCTGTTGAGCAGCAGAATTACGCCCAACGCTACACACAGGTATGATTTTGTTCGTAACATCATGTGCCGTTTGCATGCCTATTTCCAGATGGTGGATGTGGAAAACATGCTATTTGTAATAAAAACTCTTTTAGATGGTGGCCGCCGGCTCTCATTTCCAAGTTCCGCACGTCAGCCAGCATCCGCAGGCGGCTGTTCAACAGGAGAATTACGCCCAACGCCACACACAAGTATGATTTTGTTCGTAACATCATGTGCCGTTTGCATGCCTATTTCCAGATGGTGGATGTGGAAAACATGCTATTTGTAATAAAAACTCTTTTAGATGGTGGCCGCCGGCTCTCATTTCCAAGTTCCGCACGTCAGCCAGCATCCGCAGGCGGCTGTTCAGCAGGAGAATTACGCCCAACGCCACACACAGGTATGATTTTGTTCGTAACATCATGTGCCGTTTGCATGCCTATTTCCAGATGGTGGATGTGGAAAACATGCTATTTGTAATAAAAACTCTTTTAGATGGTGGCCGCCGGCTCTCATTTCCAAGTTCCGCACGTCAGCCAGCATCCGCAGGCGGCTGTTCAACAGGAGAATTACGCCCAACGCCACACACAAGTATGATTTTGTTCGTAACATCATGTGCCGTTTGCATGCCTATTTCCAGATGGTGGATGTGGAAAACATGCTATTTGTAATAAAAACTCTTTTAGATGGTGGCCGCCGGCTCTCATTTCCAAGTTCCGCACGTCAGCCAGCATCCGCAGGCGGCTGTTCAACAGGAGAATTACGCCCAACGCCACACACAGGTATGATTTTGTTCGTAACATCATGTGCCGTTTGCATGCCTATTTCCAGATGGTGGATGTGGAAAACATGCTATTTGTAATAAAAACTCTTTTAGATGGTGGCCGCCGGCTCTCATTTCCAAGTTCCGCACGTCAGCCAGCATCCGCAGGCGGCTGTTCAGCAGGAGAATTACGCCCAACGCCACACACAGGTATGATTTTGTTCGTAACATCATGTGCCGTTTGCATGCCTATTTCCAGATGGTGGATGTGGAAAACATGCTATTTGTAATAAAAACTCTTTTAGATGGTGGCCGCCGGCTCTCATTTCCAAGTTCCGCACGTCAGCCAGCATCCGCAGGCGGCTGTTCAGCAGGAGAATTACGCCCAACGCCACACACAGGTATGATTTTGTTCGTAACATCATGTGCCGTTTGCATGCCTATTTCCAGATGGTGGATGTGGAAAACATGCTATTTGTAATAAAAACTCTTTTAGATGGTGGCCGCCGGCTCTCATTTCCAAGTTCCGCACGTCAGCCAGCATCCGCAGGCGGCTGTTCAGCAGGAGAATTACGCCCAACGCCACACACAGGTATGATTTTGTTCGTAACATCATGTGCCGTTTGCATGCCTATTTCCAGATGGTGGATGTGGAAAACATGCTATTTGTAATAAAAACTCTTTTAGATGGTGGCCGCCGGCTCTCATTTCCAAGTTCCGCACGTCAGCCAGCATCCGCAGGCGGCTGTTCAACAGGAGAATTACGCCCAACGCCACACACAAGTATGATTTTGTTCGTAACATCATGTGCCGTTTGCATGCCTATTTCCAGATGGTGGATGTGGAAAACATGCTATTTGTAATAAAAACTCTTTTAGATGGTGGCCGCCGGCTCTCATTTCCAAGTTCCGCACGTCAGCCAGCATCCGCAGGCGGCTGTTCAGCAGGAGAATTACGCCCAACGCCACACACAGGTATGATTTTGTTCGTAACATCATGTGCCGTTTGCATGCCTATTTCCAGATGGTGGATGTGGAAAACATGCTATTTGTAATAAAAACTCTTTTAGATGGTGGCCGCCGGCTCTCATTTCCAAGTTCCGCACGTCAGCCAGCATCCGCAGGCGGCTGTTCAGCAGGAGAATTACGCCCAACGCCACACACAGGTATGATTTTGTTCGTAACATCATGTGCCGTTTGCATGCCTATTTCCAGATGGTGGATGTGGAAAACATGCTATTTGTAATAAAAACTCTTTTAGATGGTGGCCGCCGGCTCTCAGGTACAAGTTACGCGCGTCGGCCAAAATCCGCAGATGGCTGTTGAGCAGCAGAATTACGCCCAACGCTACACACAGGTATGATTTTGTTCGTAACATCATGTGCCGTTTGCATGCCTATTTCCAGATGGTGGATGTGGAAAACATGCTATTTGTAATAAAAACTCTTTTAGATGGCCGCCGATGATGCCTCCGTTCCCCACATGGCTCCTCGTCAGTGAGGATCGACCCCGCGACACGTCCTTCATATCATGTTTAGAAAATAGACTGCGATAAAGACGGTTTTCCTGTGCCTTTCTTTCCCTTTTCCCTACCATCTCGAAACGGGTGAACGGATGACATTTACAAATTGCCCTTTGCATGCCCATTTCCAGTTGAAATAAGTATTTGAAGTATTTGAGGAGTCCCTTTTCAAATACTTCAAAACTTAACTCTTTCAAGGCAAGGTTATAAAAAAAATAGAAAACAAGCGGAATGCTAATTTAAAGCGTTTTGAAAAAGGAAAACGCTAGTTAAAGCGCACGTTCAGGGAGGGGCCGTGTACTCGTCCCAACGTGTACACCCTAAGGACGTAGCGACCGCGCGCACTAGACATCCCGAACCCCCCCGCCCCCTAAACCCCCCTAACTAGGGGGGTTGGTAGGGGGGTTGTAGGGGGGTTGGGAGGGGGGTTCAGAGGGAGGTTTAGGGGGCTTTTTAGGGGGGTTCTTAGGGGGGTTGGGAGGGGGTTTAGGGGGGTTGGGCGGGGGGTTCGGTCGGTGAAATCTTTTCAAATTTTTCGTCTATTAATCAATTAAAATAAGTAAAAACTATCAGACGATAGTTTGCAACCCCAGGGGAATATATTTCAGCGATTTTTACCCTCAATTCGTGTTTCCCGAGTGTTTTTTTAGCAATTTTAACCGGTTTCCACCGATTTTTTTTGTCAGTATTATGGTTAGCAAGCACCAATAGTTGTCCTACAATCTTTACAGCACAAATTTATAAGGTTTCGATAAGTTTTTACAGTTTTTTTCACCAAAATCGCCCTAAAAATTGAGTTTCATGAGTTGTTGACCGCATCTGAATGATTGTTTATTTTTCGAATCAGTTGAATCATTTATAAACCACATCTGAGCCCAAAAACCGTGTTATTTGACTAATTGCGGCAAAAAACTAATGGGTGCGCCAAATTGGGGCTTAGGGGGGTTGGGAGGAGGGTTTCGGGGGTTGGGAGGGGGGTGAAGGGGGTTGTAGGGGGTTGGGAGGGGGGGTTTTTAGGGGGGTTGGGAGGGGGGTTTAGGGGGTTCGGAGAGGGGTTTAGGGGGGGTTCGGAGGGGGGTTTAGGGGGGGTTCGGGAGGTCTAGCGCGCACTCTGCCCGTGCCGTGGGAGGCAATTTGCGGCATTTCCCTCCTTTGCGGCGTGGGGCGTCCCTCACCCCCTCGCCAGGTTCTAGCTGTGGCTGACTGGTATGCATCCGCGCCTCCCGAGCGGGGGCCCCGGGGTTCGACCCCCGGCCGCGGCATAAATCTTTGCCTTTTTCCAAAAAAAAACGTCCCTGAACGTGCCCCGTTAATCCCAAAACGGCAACCTGTAGAGTTCGAGCGTCCGAGCGTTTTGTAAAGTTCGAGCGTTCGAGATTTGGAGCGCTTTCTAAATGTCGGGCATTTTGTAAAAGTCGAGCGTTCGCGCGTTTTGTAAAGGTCGAGCGGTTTTTAAAAGTCGAGAGTTTTTGATAAATACCATATTAAGTACTTTAAAACGTAAAAATTATGTATTTTAAGTTGAAATTCATGGTAAGAGCTAAATAGGCGAATACATTGGGCCGTTGATGCGGTCTCGTGTGAATACCGTGCTTTTGTAGCAGTTAGATGGTATATATCACATCTTATAAATAACTAACAATTGAAAGTTCTATTCAGTCCGACACACGTTTGATATCCTATCCAGTTAGAGCTCTACAGTTTCAGTATGGATTCTACAAGGCACGAAGCATCAAGTTTTGTTTTGTTGATAGTCATTTAATCTATTAAAAGAGTCGATATGTGCCTGTTATATTGCAGGCCGCTCGTGCGTTTTATTAAAAAAATAATAGAGACTTCTGTTACCAGGTTGTTCCGGGGTCGATCTTTATCGATTCCTGGATCTATGATTTATCTTTGCTCTTTTTTTTCTTTAAATAAGTCACTTTACAGTCTATCGTGGAGTGGTGTTAGTAAATAATCCCATTTTCAGCATATTTATGTCGCAAACCGTATCCTGGTAACCAAACCTACAAAACTCCGTACAAAATGCCATACCTTTATCTGTTTTTAAGTATTTAACCAGGGTTGAAAAGCCGCTTCGCGACTTTTCAACCCTGGCCCCGTCTGATCCCATGATATTGAAACGTTCCTTTGAACACTTTGGCTGTACGAAGATCCAGAAAATTAGATAGCTCTTTTCAGTTCCTCACCTCTGCCACCCTGCTGCTCTACCCGGGGCTGAGCGCGATGGACAACGCGCATTTTCAGTGACTTTGCCTTTGAAAACCTGACATTTTTAATTTAGATACAACTCTATCTCGCTCGGGCTTTTTCTTTGGGCGTACATCTGCGTGGCGTGGGATCGAATGGTGTTCGGGTCAATTTTCTTTGTGCTAGGCGTCAATTATAAGCAGGTAATTTGTCTGGAAAATCTAGAAACATGAGAAAAACGTTTTTCCTGCATTTTATTAGCTTACAATTTGAAATTCGGTCTTTTAGATGGAACTGTATCACTCTCTGCCAATTTTTGTCTACATCCTGGCGCGATCATTGAAAAAGCCGTTGGTCTTGAGAGCTACGGAAAGGTATTCAATTTCGGGAAAAGAAACACAAGTTTTTCTAGCCTACTCTGCCTCCTGAAAGCTGCCGTGACGGTCAGCATCACATTTGCGATCTTGTGGGCCCCATTTCTACTTCAAGGCGCTGATCACGTACTCTTGGTGTTGAGGAGAATATTCCCGTTCTATCGAGGAATGTTTGAGGTTGGAAGAATCGACGATTTCCACCCTAAAAATTCATTTCAGGACAAGGTAGCAAATTTTTGGTGCGGCTTCTCCTTTGCCATCAAGCTGAACGGATATTTTGACGCGGAAACGCCGGTTCGGATAAGGTATTTTGACGCGTCACTATCCTTTAAAATTCTTTTCTTTCAGCACACTTTGCGTCCTCGCCGCATCGGCCCGGCCGTTGATGGTGCTTTTTCTGCCGCCGTTGCCCAGGAATTTGCGGTTTGTATTTTCTTACAGCTTTCGGGTTTTATCGGTGCTTTTCTGCGCTCTAACCAGCATCAGTTTGGCTACAAATGCTACTTTCGAAAAACGAAAATACGATTTTCCATAGAATTTCTTTTGCTTTTTGAAGTATGAAGTTTGAAGTATTTTGGATACTGGGAAACCCTTAAGAGACGCTTTTTGAATAGACGGCGGCTGAGGAGCTAAATGTCCGTTTTCTGAAGAAATTTTGAGCTATGCCCCGAATTTTTTGGGCAAAACGCGATTTTGGGCAATTTTTTCGGGCGAACCCATTTTTTCAGCGATTCCCTGCTAGCCGTGGCGCTCTCATTTTTCCTGTTCGGCTACCAAGTGCAAGAGAAGAGCATCCCCTTCCAAACCACATGGTTCCTTTCGCTTACTAATACTAGGTACGAGACTTTAGTCAGCATTTTGTACACCTTTATAGCATGTATTCGTTGTGCTTGAAGGACGGCAACCCGTTGCTCGTGTTCCTCTTTGTTGTCCACGCCCTCAACTGCCACATGTTCTACCAGCGGGGATACAGGATGGTCGGTCTTTAGACAATAGAAATGGCATGCTCGTGATCTTCGACGACTTCAAACTGTTCGGAGAAATTTTTCGCTTTACCGGTCTCGTTGGAAAGCTTCTACCCGAACGTATTGGAGCCGTTCGCGTTGGTTTTCCACGTTTTGTTTCTGGGTTGCAAACTGGAATTTCGAACCTGTGCAGAACGGTAGTTTGAACGGCTTGGAGTTTCTGCGATGTGGAGCTCTGAAAACTCTTTCGACATTTTCAGCTTAAAAGTTTTTTCCTGCCCATCCATAGCCTTCCGATTCTTGTTAATGGTGACGAGCGAACCCCGATTTTAGAAGCGCCAGCGTACCCAAACATTTTATCATATCTCCCCCGCGGATAAAATCGTCTTAGAGGTATATTTTTATCAGCAATATCTAAACGTGTCCTAGCGTAACGGCTTCACTGTGCACGATTGTCGCTGCCCCGCCCAGGCTGGACCGCAAGGCGCACCATTGCCAATTGCTGCTGTGCAACCCCCGCAGGTACCGTTGTTCCTAACATCACGTGCTGTTTGCCTGCCTATTTCCAGATGGTGGATGTGGAAAACATGCTATTTGTAATTAAAAACTCTTTTAGGTGGTCGTCGGCTCTCAAGTACAAGTTCCGCGCGTCGGCCAAAATCCGCAGATGGCTGTTCAGCAGCAGAATTACGCCCATCGCTACACACAGGTATGGTTTTGTTCCGAACTAAGTTCACGTGCCGTTTGCATTTCCAAGTGGTACATTCGTCTTTTTTTTGGGAAACGACGTCCGGAAGGGGATTTTTTTGATAAAATTGGGGGTGTTTGTGCCATAGGGTGGACGAAGGTGTCCTTTCCAGATTGCCGGCATCCCTTTCAATTTCAAAAATGTGTTTTGGTACTGCCATGTTAGCGGGGGTACAATTTTCTTAACAAGGGATCCCGGTCAAATCTTTTTGCGATGACGGTTTAGGGTCAAAGCCATTAAATTTTAGAATTTTCATGACATTCTACACGGTTTTTCATGTACCAAACACTAAACAATATTGCAAAATTTTTCAAAACCTTGACTGTTGGTCAGAAATAATGTGTGAAAATAACCAAAAACCGACCAAAAATTTAGGTTTTAAGGATGTTCTTAAAGTTTTCATAATGTTTTGGTGATTGGAAACTACGAAAAGCATTATAGAAAAAAGTATTTTATCTGATTGCCAGGCAGGGATACTCAACCAAAAAAAATATTTTGCTCCCCGTTAAAAATTGTTTCCCCACTAACAGGTATTAACAGGGGGATATGTCTAATTTTTTGGCACTTTTCTGGAGCAGAATTGGACTACTCGCCAAGCCTTTGTACGCCTCTCGCGAACACGCCACCAATATTCTGAGAGTTGGCTGGCAACAGATAGCCAAAACTGTAAACAAAGTTCTTCCTTTATTGATGAATTTAATCCCTTTTAATTATTTATTTTTGCGTTTTCAGTGCATGCAGCGCAAGCCGCCCGACCGGACGGCCGCCTTCCAGCCTTACGCGCAGAAGCTGGACACGAAGCCGCCACAAAAATCGTCGATCCGATGGGACGCGAATCGGCCGAAGGAGTCGATATTGGGCGAGATCCTGCTTCTAGTCTCGATTCTGCTCTTCGTGCAATTTGCGCTCACGTCTGGCGGACATTCTGGTGAGATTTGAGGTTTATTGATTATCACATTGCGTGAGAATTTGCGTTCTTGGTGATGAAAACTGGATTCTGGGCCAACAAAACATAAAGATGACTTTCTAGAGATCCTTCATATTTTTGGCTTCAACTTCATCGAATTGGGTTAGATTTTTGCGTTTTTAACTCTGAAAAACGAATTAAAAGACATTTTTCAACAACACAGTTCATAGAATTTTTCATTGAAAATACGAAGCTACCGACCCTAAAGCTTTTTTTAAATGTTTTTCGTCGTTTAGAACCGATTTTGCAGGCTATCGAAAGCCACCGATGCACGGCGATTTCGAAGCGCAGCGGCACTGGATGGAGATCACCTGGAATCTTCCCGTTTCTCAATGGTGATGGCCATTTGGAGGTTTAGACATTTTTCAGGTACGTGCAAACGCCCGACAACGATTTGCAGTACTGGGGCCTGGACTACCCGCCGTTGACCGCCTATCACAGCTATTTGATGGGTGCAATGTAAGCCATATTTTCAAGAACTAAGAATTTCTGTTTGTAGAGCTCATCGCATCAATGGCTCGTGGGTGTCGCTGGGGCATTCGCGCGGCATCGAAACGCCCGAGCACCGACTTTTCATGCGCTTCACCGCCATCGTCCCTTTCGTGCTCATCTACGCGTCGGCGGTGTTCTATCTGGCGTACACAGACCGAAGCCTGGAGACTAAGGTGAATTTTACAGGGAAGGTGATTTTTGGAGCGTGATTCGTGGAGTTTTTAGCCTATTTTCATTGCCAACCTGCGCGTATTCGATAGCGGTCGCTTTAGGAAATTCAAGGATCTTGTGAAGTTTTCTTTCCTTTCGTTAGTTTTAACTTTTTGATCAAGGCAATTACGTGTAGACTCCAAGAAAGCGGACTCTTGAAAGGAAAATTCAGGAACTAGGCGTTTTTTTCCTAACAAAAATTTCAGAGATTCGGCAAATAAAAGTAAATTTTCAGTTCCTCACCTCTGCCACCCTGCTGCTCTACCCGGGGCTGATCGCGATGGACAACGCGCATTTTCAGTGACTTTGCCTTTGAAAACCTGACATTTTTAATTTAGATACAACTCTATCTCGCTCGGGCTTTTTCTTTGGGCGTACATCTGCGTGGCGTGGGATCGAATGGTGTTCGGGTCAATTTTCTTTGTGCTAGGCGTCAATTATAAGCAGGTAATTTGTCTGGAAAATCTAGAAACATGAGAAAAACGTTTTTCCTGCATTTTATTAGCTTACAATTTGAAATTCGGTCTTTTAGATGGAACTGTATCACTCTCTGCCAATTTTTGTCTACATCCTGGCGCGATCATTGAAAAAGCCGTTGGTCTTGAGAGCTACGGAAAGGTATTCAATTTCGGGAAAAGAAACACAAGTTTTTCTAGCCTACTCTGCCTCCTGAAAGCTGCCGTGACGGTCAGCATCACATTTGCGATCTTGTGGGCCCCATTTCTACTTCAAGGCGCTGATCACGTACTCTTGGTGTTGAGGAGAATATTCCCGTTCTATCGAGGAATGTTTGAGGTTGGAAGAATCGACGATTTCCACCCTAAAAATTCATTTCAGGACAAGGTAGCAAATTTTTGGTGCGGCTTCTCCTTTGCCATCAAGCTGAACGGATATTTTGACGCGGAGACGCAGATTAGGATAAGGTATTTTGAAGTTAGCTGGCTTTAGTATTATTTTTCAGCATACTTTTTGTCCTCATTGCATCGGCTCCGTCGCTGGTCGTGCTGTTTCTGCGGCCGTCGCCAAAGAATCTACGGTTTGTAGCTTTTACGTTGTATGGGCTTTTCTGCGCGTGAAAGAAAATTGCCTGACTAGGCTAGAAATAAATACCTTCTGGAACATTTAGCTTTCCAACGGACCGCTATACTTTCGATGCCACTGATCAAAATTGTCTATGTGGGAGATTCTTGACCGGACTGTCCTTTAATAAGTTTCCGGAAAAAATTTTATGGGTTTTCTAAATTTTCGAGTATAATTCATGTTTTGCAGCTTCTCCCTGCTGGCGGTGGCGCTCTCCTTCTTCCTGTTCAGCTACCAAGTGCACGAGAAGAGCATCTTACTGGCGGCGATGTGGGTTTTACCCATATTTTTTTGTATTTTAAATTCCAGCCCTGCCCTCCTCCTCCTACACGACCTCCCCTTCCAGGCGACGTGGCTCCTCTCGCTTACTAATACTAGGTAACTGTTTTTTTGCGGATTTGATTTTATTTCATTTTAGCCTGTATTCGTTGTGCCTGAAGGATGGAAACCCGTTGCTCGTGTTCCTCTTTGCTGTCTACGCCCTCAACTGCCACATGTTCTACCAGCGGGGATACGGGATGGTCCGTTTTTTGAATGATAAAATTGTCTTTCTGGTGATATTCGACGAATTCAAGCTTTTTATGAAATTTTACGGTTAAACGGTTGCGTTAGAAAATGTTCACCGAACGTCTTGGAGCTGTTCAGGGCGAATTTTTGCGCTCACTTGTTCCGGTAAACTACGATTTGAACGGCTTGGAGTCGTTGTGGCTCTGAAAAAAACTTTACCAAAGCAAATCTTGGACGCGCGACTTTGTCGTTTTGAAAAGGTTTCTCTAGCCGCTTCGCTGGCTTCTTGCCTTTTCATTATCCTTTATCCAATTTTTAGTTCACACTCTTTTAATCAATCTTTCATTTGCTTAAATATAAATTTGTTTTTAGATGACCTGGCTGGCCGCGGCATCCCAGCTCGGCGCGTTCTTGCTGTGCCTCCTCGAGGCCGTCGCCGTGCCACCCGCCCATCTACCGCACCTGTTCCCGTTGTTGAGCGCCTTCTACCATTGCTGCCATTTCATCGCCCTTCTGCTCTTCCTCAACTATTTCCTCGTCTACACCGAGTGGACGCGACGCTTCCCGCCGGTCGTCGTGCGACGCAAAAAGCAAGAATAGAGCAAGAGAGAGTTGCTTCTTTCTAGCCTATCGCCATTTCCGCTTTAGCACTAGTTACGGTTTGTTTAGTATTCGCAGGGAGAAATGGCTGTTTTTTTAATTTTGTTTAAGTCTTATCTTGTTTCTCGTCTAAAGCGAGAAATATGTTTCAAAAGTCCGAAACTCTGCCTAGTTTTAGTCGAAAACAGGGGCGTTTTCGACCTAAAATAGGATGTTGATGAATAACTTTTTGAAGATTAGAAAACGTAAAAAACCTCGAAATTTTGGCCATTCTGGACCAAAAAGAGAAGGTTTTTGAGCTAAAAAGCAGTTATTCATTTGAATTTTAAGATTTTTGGGCTCACCATCGTTCATTGCACAAAGAACGCGTTGTTTATTTCAAAAGAAGATTCACCTGCGAATACTAAAAATCCTAGTTGCCTTTTTTAAAGGGACTTTTGGCACATTTCTTTGGGTATTATTTCTGCACTGTCCCTTTAAAACGGGTTGCCACGGGTTTTCTGAGTTGTTCCATCTTTTCGTTTCAGCCGACCACCCGATTTTCGCTCTAGACGTTGTTGTGTTTGTGAATCCCCCGAGAACTGCCGGTGTCCATCTATTGCCTTCATTCCCCCGTCTTAGTCCGGCTGTACATGAGTTTTGGCATTTTTCTGCATCTTCTTGTCTGCTTTGTGAATATACCGAAAAGCTTTGTTCTTGAATTCCAGTTTTGGCCAGCCCTCTAACACGTGCCTACTCCCAATTTTTCGCTTTTTGGTGTCCATTTTTTGGCAAATTCTCTGTCGAATAAAGGGTTTTCGACGGTAATCAGCGAATCACGACTTTGGCAACCGTTTGCAATTTCAGGTTTTACGGAACATTCGCCGCTGATGAAGGCAGTCCTTACAAAGCTGGGACGCGCGGTTTAACTTTTGATGGTCGTCCACGTAAAAATTTCTATACGTAGGCGTCTAACGTAATAATGGCTCGGGTTGCCGGATTTTTGCAGTTTATTTTTCATATTTTCCGGGCTTCCTTCCTGCTTGAGCGCTTAGATTGAAAAATGTAATAGTAAACAACAACGCACTTCCGCGCTCAAATTTGCGAGCCTCTGCGGCTCTTGAGTATTCGCGGGGGATCAATTTTTTCGGCGTAAGGCTAGGTATAGAAATAGCAAACACATTACTACGTTTTTTCACTATTCTCGAGGCTAAAAACTTTGCAAATTTTCATAAAAAGTCCATTCTAGGCCAAGAATGTGGTTTTTTCACCTAATACGGCCAAAATTTCGACTTTTCGAGCATTGCCTCAGTTTTTTTTGAAAGTTTAACTCGTGAAGCGTAATTTGGTGCAGCAAAACCGGCGCTTGTCGTAAAAAGTGCGCTATTACGGGCTAATAACTACAATTCTTCACATTCAGAAAACTGTGCAAGTGCCAACTGTCGTTTCGACGCCCTGCCGTTCGATAAATCTGTTTTTTATTACGCCACAAAACGTATTATAATCGATGGGGTAATATGTAGAAAAGTAGCAAAAGTATTGCATTAAAATATAGAGTACAAATCGTAAAAAAATTACTGGGAGTAGTGGGGGAAGGACCGGTATCTCATAAGGCCTTTTTGGGGCAAAACGACGCGCATGAGAAATGCTGGGGGTTTCACAAAATTAAACAATTAAACCGGGCTTGGTAAAGTTTATAAAAACGGGAAAACCGGCACAGCTTTTAGCTAAACATAACGAATACGCAATGAAAATCGGGGTTCGGAGAATAAGTGATTTTCGGCTCGGCACAACGGGGGTAGTAGAATTATTTCTTCTCGTTTTCGTTAATATCCTTGTAGAACGTACATATATTTTTTTGCTCTGGCTACACGTAGATACCGTAGTAATTATGCGAATTTTCATATGTGGCGTCGACGCTAAAAAAAAATCGAAAATTCGCAAAAAATCGATTTTTTAGCGATTCCGGCTCGCCCTGTGTTTTGTTGAGCAATTATTTCTGGGGGAAAAGGATTGGAATACGGTAATGTCAACATAGAAGCGTTTGTAAGAACTTTTAGACGCCACAAACGTCCGGCGTGCCCTTCGACGAGATATTCCGGCCCCAACCGCAGCAATTTTGATGCACCTGAAAAATTTAATATTTTGGCCGAATTCCTCAAAGAATCTCTGCTAGCCTTCCCCCTCCATCCCCCTCCAATTCCTCAAAGAATCTCTGCTAGCCTGCCCCCTCCATCCCCTCCAATTCCTCAAAGAATCTCTGCTAGCCTTCCCCCCTCCATCCCCCTCCAATTCCTCAAAGAATCTCTGCTAGCCTGCCCCTCCATCCCCTCCAATTCCTCAAAGAATCTCCGCTAGCCTGCCCCCTCCATCCCCTCCGATTCCTCAAAGAATCTCTGCTAGCCTGCCCCCGTCCATCCCCTCCAATTCCTCAAAGAATCTCTGCCAGTCCTCCCACTCACTTGGAACGTCCCGGACGACTCGCCGGCGAAGAACATCTCCGCTCCTCGCATATAGCATGGGGCCGAGAATTCGGTGTTCATCATGGCGATGACAGCCTTGTAGGTGCCGACAGCTCCTCCAACCATGGCCACCACCATGATGAAGATGTTCAGCCAGAAGACGCGTTTCGGGGTGCGGTCGTAGACTCTGAAAAGGAAGTTTTTATCACATTGTCTGTCTGTCTGTCTGTCTCTCGCTCTCTCTCTCTCTCGCTCTCTATCTCTCGCTCCAGCTTACTGTTTAATGGAGGGGATTTCGCCTTTGCTCCATTGGTCCTCATCTGCTGCCTTGATATAGAGGTAGAAGAGGGCGGGCATCACGACACAACCAAGAGGGATCGTGGAGGAGCCCACCTAAAAGGTTTGGTGGGTTTTAAGTTTTATATGATCACCCTCTCTCTCTCTCTCTCTCTCTCTCTCTCTCTCTCTGTATCTCTCTTTCTCTCTCTCCCCCTCGCTTACCAAATTCATGACGGGCCCGAAATCGGGTACGCTCAACCCAGTGAACAGCACCAACACCAGGATCACCATCCGTGTGAGGACTCGCCCAATTCCGAAGCCTGAAAAATGCAAATTTCCGAGTAGCCTTGATTTTTAATGAGCAGGACAAGGATGCAGAATGGATTTGTTGGCTATCGACTTATGCGCAGCCCACAACGAACTTTGAAGCGTGCTTAATTGATTACGCAATGATAAAACTCTATCACACGGCGTGTAGCGCGCGACAGGTTCTTTCGCATTATCGGGGGGTTTTCTTTTTAGGATCCAGTTTTTAAAAGTAGCGGAAGTGGGTCTTCTACAAGCAGTTATGTTTTGTTCTTACTTTGGCCAAACGTAAAACCCTGTAAAAAATACAAAAAAGTCGATTTTTCGACCAAGAATGAACGTTTTTTACCAAAATTTCGGCCTTTTGAAATTTGTTGAAGTTTTTCTAGTTGAAATACATTTGTAATTGACTAATAACATTATTAAAATACTTCTTATTGAGTTACTAGGTATTTTTAGACCCCTACAAAAATTTTTATCCCCCCCGATAATGTTAAAGAACCGCGCCACGAAAACCAGATCCATCCCGGTCCATCCAAGATTGCGGAGTGGCAGAGCTTCAAAACTTACTATGTTTAACCTGGAAGTACTCCTCGATCTCTTGGTTCACCGGGTTGATGACGATGACCAGCGTCAAGATGCAATGCGCGGCAATCATCAGATTCGCGCCGAATTGCAGCTCGCGGGTTTGCACGCTGAAAATGGCGTCATAAATTGGGCAGCATGCAGGGAAATTTCAACTTTTACTTTTTTTACTTTTTCTAAAAACTGCAAAGATCGACCCCTTCCATCGACTGGGTCTAGACAGCTACGCTATGCGCCAAATGCCACATGGAAAATCGATTTTATTGTCCGAAACCACGGACCGTTGTGCAAAAAAATTCACATGAGTTTTTATGTGGATATTGGTGCGTCGCGTAGCTGTCTATGCCCAGTCCATGGAAGGGGAAGCTTCCGGTCGCTTTTAGACCGGTTTGCTGATGAATTTTAGCCTTCAATGGCCCTTCAAAAGCGCCAAAAAACTCCTAGTTGCGCACCTGTAGATGACGCTCTTCTCCATCGAGTCGCCGTACACCCAGTAGGCGTAGATGGATAACGGCATGTACAGCAAAAGCACGCTCAAAAATCCCCAAATGATGGACAGCTTGAACTTCTTGGGGTGTCGCATGTCGTTGACGATCGTCGGGAAAACGTAGTGACCGGAGAAGGCGAACAGGAAGGTTCCTGAAATTGGAATCTTAAAATTTCCTCCAATAATCTCTGCTAGCCTGCCCCCGTCCATCCCCTCCAATTCCTCAAAGAATCTCTGCTAGCCTGCCCCCGTCCATCCCCTCCAATTCCTCAAAGAATCTCTGCTAGCCTGCCCCCTCCATCCCCTCCAATTCCTCAAAGAATCTCTGCCAGCCTGCCCCCGTCCATCCCCTCCAATTCCTCAAAGAATCTCTGCTAGCCTGCCCCTCCATCCGCTCCAATTCCCCAAAGAATCTCTGTTAGCTTACCCATGGCCAACAAGGCGCTGCCCGGCTCGAATTCCTGGTATTTAACTTCCGGCAGACAGGCTCCATGGTCCAAAAAGACTCCATAGATGATGAGCACCACCGAGAGGACGGTGGTCACCATCGCGAACACAACGACAAGCCTGAAAATGTGGTTGTCTAGACCTAGTCAAGGTAGGGTCGATTTTCGGACATTTCCTTTGAAAGGCAAATGTCTGCCAAACTACCTACCAAAAATCGCCCGGACTTTTCAAAAGTGTGAACGGGGCGACGATTAGCGTCAACAGGAAGATGGTGCCGCACACGGAGATCTGAAAAGGTACGCTGAATTTGATAAAAAAATACGGGCAAAACGAGGGCAAAACGATTTCTGGCCCGTGGCCGGTTAGCAGACACCGTTCGGGAATATTGAATTTAAGCCGTTTGAAGAGCTGATGTTTAAGGCAAAAGAAAAATAAAAATACCGGAAAACTCAGAAAATATAGCCAGGATACGGGGCAGGCTAGCAGAGACCGTTTGGGCTTCTTTCCCATTAACGGGTGTGGGGAGAAAATCGTTTTCCCATGGAACCATTTTTTGAACATAAACAGCGGTTTCTAAGCTCTTTTTTACTACTTACTATAAATTTTACTATTAATTTAATTTAAAAATGAAAAAATTAGTGGTTTTCGGCTAAAATTGACGGTTTTTTGAACAACATTTCAACTTTTTCAAAAAATTTTTCCAAGTTTTTAGATTGTTTTTCTAGTTCCAATAAAGTTTTCTTTGACGATAAAACATTATGAAATAAGTTGAGTTACGAAAATATTAAGTTACTCGGTATTTATGGAATAATACAAAAAATTTAAAGGAAAAGCTACAAACGGGCTACCAAAAGGCGAATCAGACCGGGCAAGCCAGCAGAGGTCATTTGTGGAATTTTTTAAAAAATCTTTGTGCTGGCAAACGAGCAGATATTCTTTTGGAAGAGCTTCTGGAGCCTAGAAAAAGCGCTGGAACCGGGCAGGGGCTTTCAACACGCTCTCCCCTCACTCTCCCCAGTCTGCCCCATGGCTCATCGCCAAGATGCCCGTCCCCCCACCCAACAGGTCCGGGGTTCGAGCCCTCGCCGCGGCTTCCCCAAAGCAAGCTGTGGGCCACAAATGTGACCATCGTTTACGAGGGATGCGATAGAGAAGAGGCCTGTATGCCGGGATACGATTTATGTATCTTGTCCCTTTGATATGGTCTCGACAATTCTTTTTTGGGTCCTGGTAAGGAATCCTTAAGAATCTCTGCTAACGGACGCGATGAGCTTCGGTTTTTGTGTATTTTTTTTGCACCAGGTTTCGCTAGTCAGCCCCCCATGCTGGTATCGATTCGTTTGCCAAAAATTTCTGCTAGACTGCCCCCGGAGATAGATAAGATATTTTTTTTGCAAATGGCCTTTGCTGTACCGCGCTATTTCCTTTAGCATAATTATTTCAGCGAACGTCTCTGTTAACATGCCAAAAACGTAGTTAAATTTTAAACTCACATTAATATACAAATAGTCGGCCAGGAAATAGTGGATGATATTGGCCGATAGTAGCAAATAGACGACCGAGATTCCGAACAGCGTGATCAGAATCGCCAGTGAGGTTAACCGTCTAAAAGAACGGGTGGTTTCCATAGAAATTTTAGCAATAGTAACCAAAAATTTGGTAGTTAAAACGTTTCCCAAAACCCCGCGAAATCGTTAAAAAACTGACTGTGCCGTGGTGCCCATCGCTTTTTTGGCCATTTCCGGAAACGGTTTCCGGCAATGCTGCTTGTAGACCGGCCACCTCTGCTGCATGATGACCCAGACTTCACCGAGCTCCCATCCCGTATACTCGAACATGACACAGATCACCAGCATGAACACACAGCCACAAATCATACCTGCAAAATCATGGGTTTTCGAATTTTTGGATATCGATGTATCTCTCTCTCTCTCTCTCTCTCTCTCTCTCTCTCTCTCTCTCTCTCTCTCTCTCTCGCTCTCCCTCTCCCTCTCCCAAATGATCTCTGCTAGCCTGCCCCTTCCATTCCCAAATGATCTCTGCTAGCTTGCCGTTTCCTAAATGATCTCTGCCAGCTTGCCCTTTCCATAATGGATTCTGCTAGCCTATTGCCCCAAATTCTGCAAAGATCTCTACCACCTTGCCTTGCCCGAAGATCTCTGCTAGCTTTCAATTTCCACAATGCTCTCTGCTAGCCTGCCCCAGTCCCATTTTCCCCAAAGAATCCCCACCAGCTTACCCGATTGTTTAAAAGCGACCGGCATAGCCACCACCCCTCCTCCCACCATATCAGCCACCAAGAAGATGGCCGCGATGATCCAGTGCATCTTCGACTTTGCAAACTCCATGCTCACTGAAAAATCGGGATTTCAGAAATTTTTACAAATTATAAATTTTTTAACCAGTTCTACATGCTAATCATTCGCTACAGACCTGAAAATACAACTCAAATTTATAGTGAAAAATCCAAAAAAGGGAAAACGGTCAATTTCCTTGGGGTTACTGTAGAATCGCCTATCGTAATGCAATAAATTTATTACTTTTTTCTTTGGTAAATTTAAATATAAAATGTAATTGGATTTAAATAGCACGAATTTACAGGCATACAGTAGCGGACAAAAGTATTGGGATTTTTTTATTTTTGACAAAATCTCGGGCGATTTAGCTCGAGGTGAGCTCAAAAGTTGGTCCCTAGTAGAATTCGAGATGCTTTTTCATATGCAATGTGCTAAAACCGGCGACTCCATAGTACAAGAAAATTAGGAGAAAATTTCAAAAAGATCGACGACAAAAGTATTGGGATTTTTCTTTCTGAAGCCTAGAAAACGAGCAGGTAACCTTGTAGAGCCCTTTTATTAATGCAAAAGCGCCAACTACAGCTGAAATTTGCTCTTCTCATAGGCGATTCCATCCCGGAAGCGCTGAGGAATTTTTTGAAAATCTCGATTTTGCTATGAAAATTTGCTTTTTTGCCTCTAACTCTTTGAATATACTTTTAATGCCAATTTTTTTATCTAGTCGGATCGAGCAGCTCAAGCCGATCATTTTGATATGCTATAGCCATTAGGAAACACGCTCCTCGCAGAGTTACGTAGGGCCCAGTTTTTCAGTCGGCGGCGGCCGTAGTAAAATGGGGGCCCTATCTATGAAAAGGATACCCAAACCCCCGTGCACAGAACTGGGCCGTCTCTATCTGCCTGGGCATGGCGAAAAACTATGGACATGCATATATGAAAATGTTCGCCCTGAAGTGCTCTATCGAAATATATAGAGCAAACTGGCATTAAAGCTATATTCATAGAGTTAAAGGCAAAAAAGCAAATTTTCATAGTAAAATCGAGATTTTAAAAAAATTCCTCAGCGTTTCCGGGATGAAATCGGCCATGAGAAAAGCAAATTTCAGCTGTAGTTGGCGCTTTTGCATCAATAAAAGGCTTCTACAAGGTTACCCGCTCGTTTTCTAGGCTTCAGAAAGAAAAATCCCAATACTTTTGTCGTCGGTCTTTTTGAAATTTTCTCCTAATTTTCTTGTACTATGGAGTCGCCGGTTTTAGCACATTGCATATGAAAAAGCATCTCGAATTCTACTAGGGACCAACTTTTGAGCTCACCTCGAGCTAAATCGCCCGAGATTTTGTCAAAAATAAAAAAATCCCAATACTTTTGTCCGCTACTGTACATTAAAAAATAGCGAATTTTCCTGGGGTTACTGTACATGAAACTACTGTAATTAAATCCCTCTTTAAATTTTGGGATTTAAACCCATATTTTATTTAACGAAAAATAGCTAAATGCTTTAATAATTAGTTGGATTCAAAATAGTTCAATGATTTTTTAAGATACGGCAGAGGCAACTACATGCTTATTTTTTTAATTTATAATTTGATTTATTTTAATAAAGTATTTTATTTTATTTCTGTTTTAAGACTAAAATAAATGATTTTTAGGATAAATCGAAGGACAAAACATGCTAGAAAGGTATTGGAAAATTCAAAGTGTCAATCCCAAACTAAACTCGGAAACCGCATGCACTAATAGACAGGCCGAGCTACGGGCTACACCTCTTTCCACCGGGGTTACCTTCTCCTTTAATCCCGTGAATGCCTAAAAAGGAGGGGGAGGAGCTACGGTAAATTCGAGGGAAATTGTTACAATTTTGTTAGTTTCGGATTTTTAAGGTTTAGTCAAGGCAAGGCTTCTCTCACTCTCTCGCCCTCTCGCTCCCTCTCTCTCGCTCTCTCTCGCTCTCTCTCGCTCTCTCTCGCTCTCTCTCGCTCTCTCGCTCTCTCACCCTCTCTCTCTCTCTATCCCACTCTCGGTTTCTCTTTTGCGCGCTATCTTTCTCTCTCATGCTCTCTCGCTCTCCCTTACTCTCGCTCGCTCACTCGCTTTCTCACACAAGCTCTCTCGCTCTCACTCTTTCTCTATCACGCTCTCTCGCATTCACTTACTGTCTCTCTCGCTCACTCGCGCTCTCTCTATTTCCCTTGCTCTCTCTCACGTATGCTTTCTTCTCTCTCTCTCTATCGCTCTCTTTCTCTCTCTATCGCTCTCTCACTCTCACTCTTTCTCCAAAAACTACAATCTGTAAATTTCGTATTGCAGAAAAAGAAGACAAAGCTATAAAACAAAACAAAAAATTTAGTCAATCGGCAAGTTTAGTTAAAGCTATCAGTTAGAATCGAAGCGTAGCTTGTTAATTTTTTTTGAGACAGCGGCCAAAAATAAATCCGCAAAAATCCAATTTTCAAGAAAGCTACGGTACCTGGTATACAGGAGTCCTGATACTGTGCGAGGGTCATCATCGACGGGTTCTCGGCAAATGGGTTGCTCACCCCCAGCATCAACGGTTTACCCGCACCGTCGGCTGCCATTTTGGAGAGGGCTGGAAATGGCATTTACAGGGAATTGTAAGCAAGGAAATGGCAACAAAGAAATGGTATAAAAAACCGGTAAAATCAAGCAAATTATTGATGGGATTGAAAAAATGGGTTCAATTCCTTTCAAAAAATATGGGTTTTTACCGAGAGTGAGCAAAATAGCTAGAGAGAGCGAGTGATAGAGAGAGAGCGAGTGATAGAGAGAGAGCTAGAGAGAGAGAGGGAGAGAGAGAGAGAGAGAGAGAGAGAGAGAGAGAGAGAGAGAGAGAGAGGTAGTGAGCGCGATAGCGCAAAAGAGGGAGAGAGGGAGAGAGAGATCGCGATAGAGAACGAGAGCGAGGCAGCGAGTGTGAGAGAGACCTGTGCGCTGGAGAGAGAGAGACCGCAAGCGAAAGAGCGAGAGAGATAAATAGAGAGAGAGCGAGAGAGACAGAGACAGAGAGAGAGCGAGAGACAGAGAGAGAGCGAGAGAGAGAGAGCGAGAGAGAGGTGGAGAATGAGAAAGAGCAAGAAAATTGTAAAAATCGACCCGGTGACACCCTAGCGCACCAGGGCCCAGAGGCGAAAATCAGCCCCCTCGTTGCTGGCCAGCCCCTTTAACTAGATTATTTCCAGCATCGACCCCTCCGTTTCGTATCGATTTTTTCGGCAAAAATAAAGATTTTAAAATTTGGAAAATTAGGGATTTTGTAGGCAACTTTCGGACGTCCTGGGCATTTTTTGCGATTTTGTTTAGGAAGTTTTGAGAAGAATCAGGTTTAGCAGTATAATATTCAAAAATGCTCAAAAATTCAAAAATTGCTAAGATTAAAAATTCTGGCGATCCTGTTTTGGTCACCTACATCGCGTCAAGCCTACCATTTTTTTCGAGGTCGCTAGGCCATTTGGGGGAGAATTTACGGCGCAGCCCGGTGCATAGTAAAATAACGGAATGGCCCACTTGGCTCAAATAGAGTAATTGGCACGACTTCTAAGGCACAACCCGCCTTATTGAAAGAGGAAAAACATTTCAAGGCATTTAGAAAACGAAAATCAAAACGAAAAGCGTCTCGCGTAGCTGTCGAGACCCAGTCGATACAAGAGGTCGAGTGTGGCACTTACAAGTGCCTTTAAAGGAACGAGGAAAGCAAGGAAAAGCGTAAATTTTATCGCTGGCAAGGCGGCAAGGGCCTGCCACTTAAAAAATGATAGCAAACTAGATTAGGTTGCAGTTCAACCCCCCCCCCCCCAGCCGGCCCCCAACCTACCGTATCTCGGCTCCCTGTTCATCTACAGGTGTGTAAAGTATACCAAAATGTTTTTCTTGCTTTGGCGAGTATCTTTGTATACTTTACACACCTGTAGATAAACAGGGAGCCGAGATACGGTAGGTGGGGATCAGGGGGGGGGGGGTAAATTGCACTTAAGCCGACAAATAAGGTCATTTAAAATTATCACATTTTTTTTCTTTGGCCTCTAAATCCCCAGACCTTTGGGAAAGCACCAAGAAACCAAATGGCGTATTTTTTCTCGCCGGCGGCTGGCAGCCGGCCTTCCGTTTTTCGCGCTGAAATCGGAGCCGTTGGGCGTGGACGGGGTGGATGGCGTTGCTTGGGACCCCTTCTTCGTCTTTTCTCTCTTCTTTGAAGGGGTTATACGAGAGCCCTTTTAGTCACACTTCATCCCCCCTCAACACACACAACACAATATATACCTATGCGCTTTATGGCACGTTTTAAAGGTATTGGTAATAGCGATATTCAACCTCATTTATTGACTAGGTCTCGGCAGCTATATGAAGTGTATCAACCGTCATAGTCCATTTCAAAATTAATTTTACGATAGTAAATTTGGCAGATTTTCGTGATTTTAAAGAGCCGCACAATGTTCATTCTTTCCCAAATTTAAAATATTTGTTAAACGGCTTTTCACGAAGTAAAGATTTTTAGAATTCGATGTATTCCATAGAAAAATATCTGAAATATATTACAGATACGGTAGAAAACACCATTAAAAAATTTTGACTTTGGTGGTGGAAAAGCTCCCGGTAATGACCGTAACGGGCTGATGAATGCAGATAGCGAATTGGGTGGGGGGGCGGCGGAAGATTTTGCGCAAATTTCCGAAGGGCGATGAAGCCAATTGAGAAGCAAATAGAGTAGCCAAAACGAAGAAAAGAAGAAAAAGCTTCTCTCATAGTGGAGGAACAGTCTGGGTACCCCGAATTTCTTTAATTAGTTTGTGTTTGGGCTTAAGACGGAGGCGGCGGCGGCGGTGCGGTGAAAAATGCGAGACCCCACGTGCGGGGGTAGGGAGCGTCATTTCGAAGTTTCGTGGGCCCGTGTACGATCCAACGTAGTGCATTTTAAGAAGAAGAGCTGTTTATCGGCCGGGAAAAAATTATCAGCGCCTAAATGGCAAAATAGGTTCAAAGCTCAATTTGAAAATGTATGAATTCTGGTCAGCAGTATCAAATACACAACCAAATTCGTCGGCAGGCACCTAGCAGGAATCATTTAAGCCAGCCGCGAAGGTGAAAACTTTTAGGTGCCTTTTCAATTCTTTCCCCCCATACCTCTGTCAACCCAAATTTAAATAAGACAAATTTCAAATATTTCGACGTGACGAGAAGGCGAAGAAAGAGGGCGGTAGGCTTAAGTGCAGTTTACCCCCCCCCCCCCAGCCCTAACTTTTCAGCCATAGGTCCTATTAATGCGCCGAGTATCTCAAAATGTTCGCCGTAGTCGAATTACTATAAAAAAGTTGTTTTCTTACATCAAAAATTTTAGAAAATTTTTTATAACAATGATAAGTCCGGGTTTTCTTTACTTAATTTTTGCCGTTCCAAAGTGAGTTTTCGTATCTCGGCTATCTTTTGACGTACAGAGCTGTCAACGGTACCAAAATGTAGCTCTTGCTCTGTAGAATAAGCCTACAGTACGTTTGAGTTGAAAAAAATAGCGGAAAATAAAAATATTTGAGTTTTAGACTCCTAGTGGAGCATAGCGGCTTAATCTTTTCAACTTTCAAAATCTTGTAAAAAATTTTTTAGCAATTTTTGCCGCAAGGAAACAACTTTTTTATAGTAATTCGACCACGGCGAACATTTTGAGATACCCGGCGCATTAATAGGACGTATGGCTGAAAAGTTGCGGCTGGGGGGGGGGGTAAACTGCACTCTAACCGGGCGGTAAAATCCAATTTACCAAGGGAAGGAACATCCTCCCCTACGGATATTTAGAGGTGGATCATTAGAGGGAGCGAGAGAGAGCGAGAGAGAGAGAGAGAGAGAGAGAGAGAGAGAAAGAGAGAGAGACAGAGAGAGACAGAGAGAGAGAGAGAGTGAGCGCAAAATTTGTTTTCAGCCCATCCAACACCTCGTGTTCCACCCCCGTTTTTTTCGCGAGTCAGCGGCCCCCTAATTTGCATCCCGGCGCGATGGCCGGAGAATGGAGGATGAATTAGTCATCCAAAGGGGATTACCATGGGAAAGGAAATCTATGGGAAAGCACATTCTAGGTGACAAACTAGCGGAGAGAATTAGGGGAAATTTCGATAGAAACCATGGGTTGGCCAGGGCAGGCTAGCAGAGATCGTTCTGGAAAGCGACCGCGCAGGTTAGCAGTGAGAGCTGACATGGATGGTGGGCTGGCTGGGATGGGCACTATCTGGATTAGGGCAGGCTAGCAGAGAGCATTCGGGAACGGAATTGGGCAGAAGAGCAGAAAAAATTGGGCAGCTCGACAAAAATTCGGAGATTTGCAGAGATTTTGAGGAAAATCACGTTGCTTGTCAGAACTAGTGTAATTTTTGATGCCATGACTCATTTCTAGATCTTCGGGTGACTCAAAAAGCACGTGGTTTTTTGAACGTTGACTCATAGATGCAAATTTTCGAAAAAACAAGAATGCTCGCGGCAGGCTAGCCGAGATTCTTTGAGGAATTGGAGGGGATGGAGGGGGCAGACTAGCAGAGATTCTTTGAGGAATTGGAGGGGATGGAGGGGGCAGGTTAGCAGAGATTCTTTGAGGAATTGGAGGGGATGGAGGGGGCAGACTAGCAGAGATTCTTTGAGGAATTGGAGGGGATGGAGGGGGAAGGCTTGCAGAGATTCTTTGAGGAATTGGAGGGGATGGAAGGGGCAGGCTAGCAGAGATTCTTTGAGGAATTGGAGGGGATGGAGGGGGCAGACTAGCAGAGATTCTTTGAGGAATTGGAGGGGATGGAGGGGGAAGGCTTGCAGAGATTCTTTGAGGAATTGGAGGGGATGGACGGGGGCAGGCTAGCAGAGATTCTTTGAGGAATTGGAGGGGATGGACGGGGGCAGGCTAGCAGAGATTCTTTGAGGAATTGGAGGGGATGGACGGGGGCAGGCTAGCAGAGATTCTTTGCGGATTTGAGCCAATTCGAGTGGAGCATGGATATAGCAGAATGGTGAATGACGAGGGAAAGGAATACGAGAGAATACTAGATACTAGAAGCTTCCCGCCCCTTTTTGCAATCGGCTTTTCGATGTGTGTGTGCCTCCTTCCCCCCTAGGGGAGCTTTTCTGCCCCTCTTTTTACTCCTTCGTCTCTTTTTTGGGCCCTTTTTCCATCCATCGGCAGGGCCCAACAAAAGGGCCCACCCTCGCCTCCCTTTCTCCTTCTTTCCTTTATGGCTGGGGGCTCAATGCAAGGCTAATTGGACCAGGGACCTGCATACGGCCCACACACCACTCGGGGCGCCCTAAACTTTTTGGGGCGAACGAGTGGAGGAATTTGGGGAATGGGAAGGACGCCTGGAAAGGCCATCTAGCAGAGAGAATTCGAGAATCTGAATTCTGAAAGGTCGAATTTTCTATAGATTAGTTTCTATAGATTCCAACCGGTTTCTCTATCGACAAGTTATCACCTATCTAAAAACAATTTAAAAATGGCGCTATTTTCCTGGCCAATTACCAGCGGCTTTATGAGAAAAATAAGAGCTAGCAGAAAAGTTTTAGGACAAGTAGAGCAGAAAAAAACATAGAAAAA